GGGGGGGGGGGCAACTCAACAATTTCAAATGGCCACAACACTCATGGCCAGTGGTGCGTAACTTTTGAATAACCTTGTATATAACCGTGGAAATCTGTAAAAAAACGATAATGCTTTCAGAACCGCAAAAATCTCTAAATAAGCGCAGTCGCACGCGGACCCGCGCCAAACGTGACGAAATCGCGAGGACCTCTGAAGACGGATCTGTGCCAAAATCCTGAATTCTCGTCGATCGAAAGTATGTCGCATTGTCGCTCCCGCTGACAAGCAAATGACTCCGAAGTCAAGTATCAAAAACCAGCGAATGACTTTTTGTTTAACGCCCGCGTGGAACCAGGAATTTTTTGTGAAGGGAGTTTAGACCTCCTCCTCTTCCCTTATACAGGGGACACTGAAAGGCTTCCTATTGAGAAGGGTTCGAGGGGAAAAACGTTTGTAAGAGTAATTCGTTTCTCGAGCGATTTTGAACTGTTCTTTCCATAAATTTGAATGAAATACAATTTCCTAAATGAAAGTTACGCCAAACACTCTTGTATCGAAATCCCTCGCATTTTCTGTTGGAACCAAGTAGATTAGGGGGGGGGGGGGAGTGTACGACTTAATTAAAAACAGAAAATTAGAAAACCCCTAACAGTTTCGTCGCTAGGCATATTTCTGAGCCGTAGGGGGCGTATCGTCACAATTGCCCTGGTAAAAATTAGCAGTAGAATCTGTGTTCCAAAATACCATAGACCTACAGCCGGCTGTAAGATTTCCAAAAGCTTCTATAGCCGGCTACACAATTTCTTATACAGCCAGGCGATAAAGTGTATGCTAAACGTTACTAATTACGGATACTAGGACTTAGTTGGTTTTTGGACTACCGCTCTCTTTTTGGGCCGTAGTATCTTGATTTATTTTTCGAGGAAAGCTCCGTACTTTTGATTGATGCCTGCCATTACTAATATATTAGAGCGCCTTCAGTTTCGTATGATACTGTGCAATACCTCTGGTGTGAAATAGTTGCTTCAAGCGCCGTGGCAGGCGGGCAGCCAGCGCGAAACACGCATTGGCGCCTACAAACCTAACAGGGATACTTCACGCGTTGCGCAATGCGTGAAGTATCCCTGTTAGGTTTGTAGGCGCCAGTGCGTCGCCGCTCCGCTTTGTGTTAGGCTCTAATATTTAATCTCGCGGAGTCAGCGCTATTCAACTCATGATTTTGAAATGTTTGCACATCCTGTATGGATTATTCTCATTTTAATTGATGAAAAAAATATGTATTAAAGGAAAATATAATGTGTATTTTGTAAATATTAAGGTGGTTCCGTATCAAACTTAATGATTTCCAAAGCACACGAATTTCTACAAAATTTCTTAGAGCCTTTTATAATCGATGGCGTAAAAGCAACAGCCAGGCGATGAAGTGTAAAGCCCTACGATAGGAACTGTAGCCCGGCTGCATAATTTTTTATCGCTTTGTATAGCCCGGCCGTGTAATTTTCTTCGCATTCTACAGCCAGCTATATGATTTTCTGTAGCCTTCTTTAGCCGGCTATAAGAATTCCTATGGTATTTTGAAACGCAGCAGCCAATTTTTACCAGGGTGCCTGACAATTGCCGGAAAATTATTTAAAATTATTTTTTTGTCGAAAATTCCAATCCCAATTCAGGAGATTCCAAGCCCCCCTACCCTCGTCCCTTCGATTCTGGCTCTCTTTAAAGTCAACCTTTGACTTCTACGTCAGAAAACCTGCACCTTTTTTTAAAATAATAAAAAAAAAAAAAAAATTGAATATAAAAACAGGAGGGGAAGTTTACATTGACTTCTTATCGTGCATCAATCAATTCTGATGTATATTTTTGGCGTCGCATACGCGTTAAATGATGCTTAAAATTCGTACCGACTTCTGTACTACTTCTACCTGATTCCAATAATTGTATAGTTACGATGCAGCGTACCAGCGGTACAAAACTTTGCAACGTATCGCGTATAATTTTACTCTGTTTGCGAGTAAATATCTGGCAGCGAATCCTGTGAATTAATCGGCAACGCTGATGGAGGGAGGTGGGCTCAGAGTGCGGCTGCACTGGCGCTTACCCTCGCCTCGCTATGCCCTCTCGTGCCGTTTCTCCGTGTATCAGGGCCCCAGAGACGAGAATACGTCTCCCTCCGTTTTCACCGTCTTCTGAGGAGCTTTTAGGCGGGAACTGGAAATCTTAGCCCTGATGTTTTTGACGGCAGCCACCCACAAAGCGTATTAACGCGAGGAGGGATGCAGGGGCCGGGCCAGGAAAACCCCAAGAAAAGGCAGGGGATCTTGAAAAACCTGGAAAGTTTAAAGGGGGGGGGGATTCACTGTATTTTGACCGTGGTTAGCGATTATTATTATCAGTGGCGTAGCGTGCTTTGCGATATATCGATTGATCGGCCATTTGAAACCTATGGAAAAGTGTCGATCATCAGGGTGTTTGCAACGAGCACCTTAATAATCCATTCTTTACCATAGCTTCAAATGAGGAAGTATCGATATATATCGAAGCACGCCACGCCACTTATTATTATTACTTAGAAAGTCACAGCAGAGATCTTAATATGTTCTTGCTTGGGTATGGTAGAGTCCTATTTTTTTAGGAGTCAGGAAAAATTCCAAAAAAAATCAGGACTTTTTCGTACGTTTTGCGGTAGTTGTTTTTTTATGATTCGGTTAAACAGGTTGAAAAGCGCTCGTTAAGTTAGGGAACCAAATTGCCCTTAAGTTATTTTTATGAGGTGAATCTTGCAGCCCAAGATCTTGACTGGAAGTTGAATTTTTCACATGAAAAACATTTTCGATCTCAGTCGCCTTAATCATTCAGGGATGGTCAAGCAACACTTCACTCAAAAACTTCAGAAAATCGGGGAAAATCGGGGGAAGGCAGGGAAATTTTAACTCTAAGGAAACTTGTCGTTCCGTTAAGCTAAGGTTCATTTTCTTTCTAAGTTTTCCCAAGGATTTTGTCAATAATGCCGGGGAAAGTCAGGAAGGAAAATCTGAAATCGCAGCTTACTTAACTTTCAATCCTGATGTCATTAAAATGAGAAACATCAGCTAAATCGAGAGATTACGCGTTAAAATCTTAATATCTAATTTGAAAAATAGAATGAAATTGTGAATCAACCACTGTACTAATTGCGAGGGGCGTTGGTTCATTTGAAAGGTGTTGTTCTCAATGCTTCGGGAAAACTATAAATTATTTTCTGGGGTTCGTCCCCGATTTTTAAATCCCTAAAAACTCATAAATTGGATGAGGGGAAGTGGGGGTTTTTT